GGCACCTTTGCAGGGGAGGGGCCCAGGAAACAGGGTGTCTGCCATTCTCTGTGCAGACACCATCACACTGGCCCTCTCGGGCTCTGCAACAATCGCACCCCCTTATCCCACCACCTAGATACTTGAGAAATGCATAGGGGAAACTGAGACACCCACACAGTATTCAGAGAAAACATTAAGAACATTCCCACTTCGTCACACCCCCCACCAGCCAGCGCTCCTGCCCCACAGCACCCCCCACTGGGAGCTCCCCCCAGTGCCCTCTGCTGGGAGGGGCTGGGGCTGGCGTAGCTGAGAGCTCCCCTCCTGCCCGGCCACTTCTGGGCCCTTGTCTCCCTACAGCTGAGGCCCCACCCCCGCGAGCTCCCCTGTGCCGTGGGGTGACCAGCCCTCTCCTCTCTCCTGCCAGGTGAGGGACGAGTACCGCAGGTGGCTGAGCTGCGGCGGCCTCAAGAGACCGGCCAAGAACTCCGACTTCTCCAGCTCGACCACCTCGCGGGTAAGGGGAGGCCGGGCCGGGCTCCACAACAGCGCAGGAGCCTTCTGCCCTGCAGTCCTTCCCCGTCCCCCACTGCCCTCCTGCTCCGGTCCCCACAGCCAAACCCCACCCAGCAAGTGGTCACTGCCTCCTGCCCATGTTGGGGGGGGAGGGGGTTAGAAGAGAAATGAGGCAGAGCTGGGCTGAAAAGGAATTAGAAGCCAGAGAGAGGGGCTGGGAGCCCTGGGGTCTGTCCCCAGCTCTGGGAGGGGAGGGGGGATCTAGGAGCCAGGACCCTGGGGTCTGTCCCCAGCTCTGGGAGGGGCTGAGAGCCAGGACCCAATTTGTCATTTCGACTCACCATGAGGCAGCCTGGGGGGAGGGGACAGTGGGGGGTCGAGTCCTGCTCTAACTCCCCCCCAACCCCCTTCCCAGCAGGGGCTCCAGCCGTCGCAGGATTCGGGGTTGTAGCACTCTTGCGCTCAGCCCATTTCCGGACACCGCAGCTTTGCACATGAGAAAACCTGGCCCCGTGCCCCCGGCCTGGCCCTGCCCGTGAGCAGAGACCCACCATGCACCCGGACTCGCCGCATGCAGATGCTTCAACGGTTGCCCAGCGGAACCTGACTCCCAGCCCCCACTGCTCTAACCCTCTTAGGGTGACCAGATGAAGGAAAGAAAGAAAGAGGGACACAAGGGGGGGTGCAAAAAAAAAAGTCCAGTCAGTCCCGCAGGCAGAGCAAAAAACAAAACCCAGGGCTGCCGGCAGATATCGGGACACGGGACAAACCCCGAAATATCGGGATGGTCCCGATTTTATCGGGACGTCTGGTCACCCTAAACCCTCTAGATGACACATTCTAAGGGCAGCTGGGCCCACGGTGATCCTCTGAGTCCAACCAGCTGCAGAACAGGCCCCCGCCCTTCCCGGATTCACTCCTGCTCCATTGAGAGCAGAACGTCCCGGCTCCATTGGGAAAGGCCCAGTGCTGAGAATCCACCACGCTCCCGGGGAAGCTGTCCCGGGTTCATTTACCCTCCCTGCCGATATCCAGTGTGACGGTCTCACTTCCAGCCCTTTGGCTGCTAGACTGAAGAGCCCATGATCACAGTCCCTATAGACTGACCCTGTCACCCCTTCCCTGTCTCTGCTAATCCAACTGAGCTCCTGGAGTCTGTCGCTACAGGGCAGGTTTGCGAATCCTCACGGGCCTTCTGGCCTCTCTCCAATTGATCAGCCTCTGGCTGGAAGTGGGGACACCAGAGCTGGACACTAGTTAAGCGGCGCTCAGACCAGTGCCAGATACAGAGTAAAATAACCTCCCTCCTCCTACCTGAGCGTCCCCTCTTCACGCATCCACTGAAAGTTATTTCATTAAATAACAACAGACAAACCCCCAAACCACAATCTCATCTTTTTTTTTACTAAAATCTCCTGATTTGGGGGCCGAGTTCCTGATTTTGGGGTTTATCTCACTTGATCTCCTGGCGCTGTTCATGATCAGCTCCCACCAAGAGCAGAGAGAGCCTGACCCACCTGGCCTCTAGGGGGAGCTGTTTGCTTGGTGACATATAATATCTACTTAGTATTAAGCCTTGGTGATTATTTCCCATTATCCCTGGCTGTTGCAGGCCCCACGGAGGCACCGACATGGTTCAGGCTGATGTTGTCATGCTGTCTCTCGCTTGCTCCCTCTGTCTCGTTCTCTCGCTCTGGGTGCAACTTCCTCAGCCGGTGCCGGCCTTATAAATGCTGCTATTTCCAGCCTGCCCCGCTTGTGCCCCGCCTCCCCCCACCGCGGCACCCATTGGCTCTATAAGAAAGAGGAACTGGCCTGGGCCACTGCGGGGGTACGTGGGTTTGAGGGAACAGGTTGTACTTCTAGGTTAAGTACAACTGTATAAACACGCGATGCCACAAATGCAATTGTGTGTCAACAACCGTGCAAGCATGCTGTAGCTGCAGCTGTGCAAACACAGTCTGCTGCAAGTACAACCGGACAACTGTCAAGGTGTAGTGCAACCACCACGTAACTACAACCTTGCAGGCACAATCAGCTGCAAGTGCAACTAAAACCAGGGAAGTACACTACAGCACAACTACAACTGGGTAACGACGGCCATGCAAGCGCACAATGTAGCAAATACAATGGTGCAGCTGTACAAACACTACACTACAGGTGCAACAGCTCCACTACAACTGTACAAAAGCACAATGTTGCAAGTGCAATGGTACAATGGTGCAGCTAAAACCGTGCAAGCACGCAATGCTCCCAGTGTAACTGCAACTACCACTGTGCATGATGATGCTGCAAGGAAAATTGCGCACCTGTGCAAGCACACTATACTATAAGTGCAACCATGCAAGCACCATACTTTGCAACTGCAAGCATGCAAGCACCTTTATGCCGAAAGTGGAATTGTGCAACAACCTGACAAGCTCACAAGTATAATGACAGCCGTGCAAGCACACCACACTGAAAGTGCAAGTGTGCAAACACAATATGCTACCAGTGCAACCACACTAGGCTCCAAGGGCACTGTGCAACTATAGATGTGCAAGCACAATACACTGCAACTGCCTTAAGCCCATTGCTTTGCAGTTGACGCGTTCGTGTCCAGTCCTTGTGCCCTGGCTGTGACTCTCTCAGCTGACCTACTAACAACACGCAGGCTGGTGTCCACACAGCAGCCTTTTCCACCTGCCTCCTTCTTGCTGCCGGAGTTTGTCCCAGTGCATTCTGGGAAACTGGGCTGCGATTGAGAATTACTTGCTAGCTCAGCTCCTGTCCCCGTGCTCCAATGTGGATTTAAGTATTTCTACAGAGGAGAACGGCTTCAAGAGGAGAGGGTGAGGACACCCCAGCTCTGAATATCCCATAAGGTGCTTGCTTGTGTTGCCGGAACAGAGTGCCCGAGGACAGCAACAGCGTGGTTTGTTGCCCAGTGTGCTTCGCGCCAATAAACACACCAGGGTGGAGAAGCAAACAAAGTTTATTTGAGATCTCAAAGTGGTGCAAGGAGACAGGCAAGTCTCAGATCAAGCACACCAGCAAAAACAGTTTTCCTCTCTTTATACATTTTACAACTAAGCCCCCCCCTTCCGCTCTCTACTGAAGGCATGTTTATACATTTAAGCAATTAAATAATTCTGGGGCTATAAGTCTAGCTTGTTAGTAACACTCCTCTAAACTGTTACCTGGTCCTGTTTACCCTTGGTTTATTACCTCTTCTCCAGCCAGAAACATGCAAGCCTCATCATTATCGCTTGGTACCTGGTATGGAGGCGGGGGGCTGTAACTGATAATTGGCTGTTTACACATTCCATGCATTTAGCTTTTGAGGTTGATTAGAGTTAAACATTGAAGAACTTTGGTTCATCCAGGCCTAGTGACATCAACACTTGGGATCCCTGTGTTGCATTAGGCAGAGTGGAGATTAGAACCTGGGTCTCCCACATCCTGGAAGAGGCTCTGACCACTGGGATAAGTGGGGCACCCCCCATGGTGCTTTGTGCAGGACCCAGTTTGGGCTAGAAACTGACTGGGAGGCAGATGGCAAATGAACAGAGCCCAGTGGTTCTGATTTTAGAAGATCGCCTGGTTTGCAAACTGCGCTGGTGATTCTCTGAGGGGCTGAGATGTGACAACCACATGCAGCATTGAGGACACACAAACCTCCACCTTCCTTTCATCTACAGCCGATGGACGGCTGGATTTCTGGGTGTGGGTTTGTACAGCACCTAGCACCGTTCATACGTTCTAAAGCCAGAGGGGACCAGTGTGACCATCCCATCCGACCGCCTGCATAACGCAGGCCTCAGGACTTCCCTGGCTTCATTCCTGTGGGAACTGGAGCTGATCTGCTAGAGAAACATCCAGCCTTGATCTAAATATAGCCACCAAAGGAGAATCCACCATGGCCCTTGGTAAGTTGTTCCAAGGCTTCGTTCCCCACTGTTAAAAATGTGCCCCTTATTTCCCGTCTGTCATTTGCACCAGAAACGTAGAAGATGCTGGACAAAATGAGACCCTGCTCCGGGCGGGTAGATAGATCCAATTTGTGGCTCTGATTTCCCAAGATTGCGTCTCCCTGCTCCGTTAGTGGAATGCCCTGTTTCCCCCGCCCCCCAGCTCCTGGGCAGGAGCTGCCCATGCAGCACAGACACGGGCTGAGCACGGGTGCCAGAGGAAGGAGCCGGCCCACGCTCCAGCACAATAGTGGCGTCTCCCAGAGCCAGCGCCAGGGTGTCCAAGTGCTGCACTGCGGCCGGCCCAGGGCCACCACTTCCCCAGAACGACAGCAGGAGCCCACGAGTGAGGAGGGCCCTGGTTTGTCGCCGCGTTCACTTTTCCTGCCCATTGTTCAGCTCGGGAGTCGTCGCAAACGCTTCCTTATGGCAACACAGCTGATATCCCAGGAGAGCCAGGGCACATGTCCAGCTGCATCCCCAGCCTGGCACCAATGCCTTGGCTGTGCCCCGTCCCATACACACCCCAGCCTGGCACCAGGGGGCGCTGTGCTGCTGGGGGTGCTGCCCCACTGCCCTGGCTGTGCCCGTCCACTTCACACCCA